TATTCAGCATATGTGGGAAGCGACTGATCGTCATTTGCTTGATCTGCCTCAATGGAAAGATGAATTACAGAGGATGAGTGAAACCACATGGTCATTCATCCGTCAGAATACTATCTGCGTCTTAATTCATGACCTAGACCATAGTCCTAAACTCACTTTTCAGAAAAATATTTTTTCATAGTAGAAATGAAAAAAAAAATGATAGACGTTTTTATCTTAGTGTTTTTTTTTTTATGTTATGGAGGTACTAAAAATGAATGAGGCATTTTCCAACCTTCATTTTCTAACTTATAAGAAATTAATATCTTTGGATTTAGGCAACTTATAAGAAGCAGCTTAAAAGGTGAAGAAACTTCATTAGAAATATTTAATTTCAAAACCACCTCATTCCAATAATTCTAGAAATCAAATGCAAGTTTAGGTCTTTCAAAACAAATTCAGGGATTTAATTTATTTCAACCTTATTTGAATACTGAAATTGCCTTAGGATTGACAACCTTAAATATTGCCTTGCATATATTTAACGTTGTCAAGAACTACTGGTGGTAAAATAAGCTTAAAATAATAAAAAATTATGAAAGACCCTTCATACGGACCAAGAAAACTATTCAAACATAGCTATTTTCTCTACAGGGCATGAATTATTTAATCAAGTAGATTTTGAAAAAAAATTATTGCTTGTTTTGCTTCGTTAAAAAGGCAGAAAAAGTTCTTGAAAATCGGTAATGTTTTGTACTGAGTATATAACCATTTCAATATTGTTTATCAAAAAAGGTACTTTTCAACGTTTTTTGCGATTAAAAATTATTAACACAGTTATGATTTAAACTACTTATCTTTGAATAACTTTAAATACATTGATGTTTTGTGGATCCTCTCTAAGATGGTTTCAGATTATTGTAGTCATCTCTAGAGGTGGTTACTTAAGTGATATTCAATATCGATATTTATTTATGTTCTCGGAACATTGCTCGCTTTCAGAAAGGCTTGTCTAAGGGAGGTGACTTGAGGTTACTCTAGTTAATTAGACTGCATACATGGGCGGGAATTTACTTCTTTGCCCGAGGTCTCTCTCATGTATTACAAAAGATAAAATATGAATACAATATTATTTATAAAACACATTTTATAAAACACATTTAACATAAAACACATTTAACATAAAACACATTTAACATATTATAATTTTCGAAATATCATATGTAGTTAGACAGATATGAAAGTAAGTCTATGAAGCATGTTCAAGATTTTCGTACGATATTTTTGCTCTCATTTACTTTTAATGTGCTTCATACGGAAAAGAAATTGCTCGTAAATATGCACGCTTTCAAAAAAGAAGTAAATGAAAAATTAGGTGCTTAGATAGTTGCAAAATTATGCATTTCCACTTAAATAAGGTATCGTTACGTAACTGATTTCCGGCTCTAAGCATTCCATTTACAAGTTTGCAGGCAAATTTTAGGCCAAATTAAAGCAAATGTACGGATATACAATAGGTGCTTTCCGATAAAACAGTAATCAATGCCACCTGTTTTTTTGCTATCTACATAATTGCTATTCTCACAGTGAATTCAGTTAAATCTCTTACTAAGCAACTGCCGCTGTTTCAGTGCCATTTCAAATGCCATTGTTCTTCGAAAAGAAATTATATTTCCGTTATTTCTCGCCTTAAGTACGCAAGTGCAATTCATGCAAAAATCGGCCCAAAAGCGGCCGAATGGTAAAATCGCTGAAAACTGTTAACGCCGACCTGAGTTAGATTCCAGGCGAACGGACTGGCTGCATGGGCGTTTCCGTGTTTTTCCACTGTGTAACGTGTATACGAACCATTTTCCGTTAAAAAGTCCTCCACGAAGATATCACTCCCCTTAAGTAGATAATCTTAGCGTGCTTTGCCATAATCAATTAAACCAAACTAATCATTTGGATAAGCAATCACATACACTAAAATTAATTAATCTAATTCTCATTTTCACATTGAGAGTCTCATGTGTGCTCATTCTTTCGATTGTGCAATATGGGCTGTGGACTGGACACCTTTGATTAAATCAATAAAGAGGTATACTGGCTGATTATATTAGGGATCAAACCGGATTAAGTTAATAAAATAACTAAAATGATAAGAATAGTACTATATTTGAAAGTTCAGTGCTGTTATTCCGAAGCAAATATTATGGCCAAACCCATTTTGTACAAGGGCATGTTTCAGAATTTATCTCCATTTAAAGGAACTAATTCAACCTGCAATTCTTTTTGAAACTGTATATGGAATTACAAATTTCGGCTTTATTACACCTAAACACTTTTAAATAACTATTCTCATAAATAAACCACTCTCGAGAAAAATTTAAATAAACCACTCTCGAGAAAAATTTAACTTCAGCACAGAAAATGGAAGAGGAAAAAAATCAATTGAAATTAATGGATCAGGACAAAAACATTAAGAAAAGTATGTAAAATGGAAACATGGAAATCAAGACACTAAAAGAGCAATAACGACACGAAATGAAAGAAGGACAAAAGAATTTAAGTATCTCGAGCAATTCTCGAAAGGAAAACTTTGGAAACAGCTACTTTTGACGAATATCCACTTAAATTATCTTCCACTAAGGGTCGCTTGCCAGCGAGAATAACCAAATAAAATAATAAAAGTCGGAGCAAAAATGACAAGAATGTGTAAAAGATGCAATTTTTCCTTCCTCGCTGACGACACTCAAAGTTAGCAGCAAAAGAATTTTTCTTTTTAATTTATATTTTTTTTTTCAATTCACTATCTAACAAGAATAACTGGCATTTTGCCATCAAGATGGAAAATTGCGGACACGGTTTCAGTTACAATCAGTTAGGCGACAACTCTGGTGACTTTAACTGCTTTAACAGAAGAGGAAGAGAAGACTGAGACAACCCGGATTAGATATGACAAAAAATAAAAAGAGAAAGACAATTTCAAATTATTAAAAAATACATGACACATTACAGCTAAGTGAAAATGATTTAAAATATTTATTCCTCAAAAAGAAAACACAAACAAATAAACGACATTTGAAAGCCCACCCTCTTCAAAAAGTCACAACCGTGTTATATATGCAGCCATACCGTTTACTTTTAGCACTATGCATGAAGAGAGTATGGTTTTTTTCATTGACGTCTGATGGCTAAAGGGGCTTCCGTTCAGTTTTTCTGAGCGGGATGCTCCTTTCGATTTATTCATTTCATATTATTATACTAATATTTAATTTATTGATGTCAGTTTTAAAGACGTTGTGGAGACATTAGGTTATTTCGCAGCAGGAGACATGAAAAATGAGGAATGCCCTCGTCGGGACTCGAACCATGGACCCTCTCGAATACGCGCCGAGCGTGCTGACCATTCCACGAAGGCATGCTAAGAAGGTGGGAGAAATACCTTAAGCGTGATGCTGATTAAATACAATAATGAATTTTTTGTACTTAATGTGGTTTCGACGAACCTCAGCCGCTTTTTTAAAACACCATTTCGCAACTATGGCGATACATTAGTTTGTTGTTTTGACACTCAGCAATGTGAAGCATGATTTTTCCTTGAGGTAAATAATGGAGATAACGAATGCAGGGCTTTTAGATTCCTCCTGGGTTGACTCTAATAACTAACATAATATTGTACGTTAAGAAATAAAACATCTTTCTTGCCCTATCCTCTCACACAATAAACAAATATATTCTATTAAGATCATGTTTCAAACTTTTGTGACATTAATATAAAATAAATTAAAACATAAATTTGTGAAATGTTTAAAATACTGAACGCCCTAAATTCTCGATAATTGAATAAAACTGAAAGCAGAAATATATGAAAATATAATGCATATAGTATTTACAATTTCCCTAATTATCATTAAACAGTTGAAAAAGTTACATTTCTATTGAAAGGTTTATCCTAAGATTTTAATAGTTATCTTTAAAGATACTTTCCCATCTCTCCTAATTCCAGCTTACAATTTCCCACCAGAATGTGTTTTTAGAATCGCGGTTAATGCAAATGAGGAAGAGCGGTACTTAAGTCGAAGTTCCATTGACTTCGTTAGAGAGCCAGAGATTCTGACTAGCGCGCCTTTGCCGTTTGGCTAAACTCTCTCTACGCTATTATACTACGCTTGGCCGTATTTCAAGCCCTTGATAGCTTCGCCAGTTAGTTAACATACAAGGGACAACTGCTTAGAATGTTGATGGCTTTGGCTGTATATTTTTAGCTAAACATTAGTTTAGTTTTATTTCTTAGTACTCTTGAGTTCAAGCCCAAGTGGAGACTTTCTGTACGCTCTAAGAAAGGAGCCGACTGTAAAATTCTTATTTTGGGAAATAAATGCAATTAACCCTTCTTGAGTTTACGTCTCTGTTCCTGAACTAAAGCGATTATTGGCTTACTAGTTCACAAAGTTCCTACACACTTAGCTGTAAGAGAAAACGTTGGAACCCCACACTGTGACTTGAAGAGATAAACCAAAAACCGCAATTGACAGTTTTATTAATATTAACCTCTCAGAGGTCATTAAAAATTTATAAGTGAACCATGGTGGTTGGTTCAGAAGTTAAAACATTTAGTTGTAACTAAAACGAATGCCCAGGAAGGTTTGAATAGACATTTAAAGTTAACGGAAGAATGTAAAGAAAACAGGTAAAGTTTACTTACACCTCTTAAACAGCGTTCAGTATTTCTTTTCTCATCGATACATATGCTCGATAACAAGAAAAGCAGTTTGCCATATTTTTTTATGAAACGTATCTCGATCTATTTAGTTCAGAAACATTGAACATAGTGTAACATTCAGGCATCAAAATCGAACGAAAAGAACGCTTAGCTAGAATGAATCTTGGATTGAATATATTTTAAATAATACAGGTATCTAATTATACAAGATGATGCAAGATGAGCAAGTTTAGCGTAATAAAATTTTCCTTTGCCGAGATTATAAATATTTTTTATTAAGAAAGTTACGAATTTCTTTTCGTACAGTACTCACCTGTGAGAACAGACGTCGTAGAGATTCGGTTCCACTGCTCCCGTCATACAATCATAAAATGTGGAGCATCTGAAAATAGATTATTTTAGACACGATTTTAGGTAAATATTACTTTCAATACTTTAAATGCGAAGAAACGTAATATTGTTCCAGCAAATAAATTCACTGCATTTTGGCGATGCATAGTTTAAAATCCTCAGTTTTGAAATAATTTTAGAATATACTGAAATCGGCATGACAGTTGGTTATAGTAAAATGTCAAGTTTCTGGATGCACCTATAAGGTGTTTCATCCGCCTTTTTAGCATGCCTTCGTAGTGTAGTGGTCAGCACGCTCGGTGCATATCGAAAGGTCCATGGTTCGAGTACCGGCGAAGGCGTTACTCATTTTTCATCTCTCTTGCTTCGAAATAACCTAATGTTTCTATAGTGGCGCCCAAATTAAAAGGTGGTGAATGATGATTCTTCATCACCTGGATTTGACAATTGGGTCCCCTAAAACCCCCAGTCGCCCTTTAAAAGGGGAAGTATATCATGTATTTCTCCCGCCGTCTTAGCATGCCTTCGTGGTGTAGTGGTCGGCACGCTCGACGCGAATTCGAGAGGTCCGTGGTCGGAGTTCCGGCGAGGGCATTGCTCATTTTTCCCATTTCCAGCTTCGAAATCACCTAAGGACTCTACATTGGCGCCGGAACTAAAAGGGTAGTGGATGACGATTCTCCATCCCCAGGATTTGTCGACTGGGTCCCCTAATCCCCAGTCGCATGTAATAAAACATATTTTAGAAATACTGAAATAAGAACACTGAGATTCAGAAACATAGAAATACTGATTGGCACCACATAGAGAGGACAGATCGTAGATGTATATTGAAGACGAATTTTGGTTGCGTAGAATGTTAACCCGTAATGAACAGGAAACTTGGCAATCGAAGCAGATTAAATTCAATTTTCGATTAAATTCACGTTTGCGGCCACAATTCACTTAGCATTTTAATCGTGCTTATTTGCTGAACATTTAAATTTTTGATACTATTGCGATAGGAAGGAAACATAGCGAAGCTTCCAAGGAGCACAGAGAGTGAAGCTAAAGACGCATTTATTCGATATGAAAGATCGCAAGGAAGGTTTTTAGTTTTGGTTTAGATCAGAAAAGTTTCAGTTCTCAAAATTCTGAGTGAAAAATTCTGGAAATGACGCAGTCCAGAGAAGTTATTACGATTTTTAGAACAGAGAGGGAATATTAAGGGGTTACTGTTAGTTTAAATTATAATTTTGATTTACATATTTTTTATCTTGCATGTATATAGTAGATCTTACGAACAAAAGCATTTAATTTCAAATACTATTCGGTAGTGCCACGCCAAAAAAAGTTAATTTATGGTTATTGGCTAGCCTTTCAGCCCTCGTAGAAGCTGCTTTTATTTCCCGACGACATTTTTAAACAAAACCAACCAGATTAATTGAGTCTTCCCACAATGAAACAACGTCAGACTAGGAGATCACATATTTAATTTAAACAATCCTTGAATTAAAGGTCATGTATTAGTTTCAATTCGATTATACTCGGATATGAAAGAACTTTCCCTGATTTCGAGGCACTAAAATTGCATTTATTTGAGCAATGCAAATTACATAGTAATGAAATCTCTCTCTCTCCATGTAGATTTAATTTAAAACATTCTTAATAACTTTAAATACTACATAAGTTCAGCATCGATAATAGCACAGCTAAATACTGTTCAACCCTTGAAGGTAAAATTGAATATGCATAACTTACTTCTTTCGTTTAAAGAAATTAATGAAAGACCTTCCTTAAAAAACAGTAAGAATTACACAGTAGGATTTCCCACTGTGTAATTCTAATTTACAGTTTGTAAGGATTATGTTAATTTTATTAACAATTAAGTTTTAAGTTAAAGTTCCTTTCCTGTCAAATTCTTAACTTCAACTTACTACTTCCGGCCAGAACGTAGTTTTGGAATTTGCTGAATATTTAATGAGAAGGAGCGGTATTTAAACCACGAAGTTACTTACTGAGTCAGAGAGAATCAGAGTTTCTGATTTACGCGCGTCTGCCTTTTTGGTCACTCTCTCTCTCTCTCTCTCTCTCTCTCTCTCTCTCTCTCTCAAAGCTGTTATTACGCTCGGCCGTACTCAGACTCAGGCCCTTGCTAAGCTTCGTAGTAAAATAAGTTAAGGGGCCAACTGAAATTGAACATTGATAGCTTCGGCTATACTTCTTTAGTTAATCTTAGTTTTAGTTTAATTCTTAGTCTTTTTAGTTCCAAGTTTAAGTGCGGGCTTTGCTTGTACACTCCCAGGCGCAGTTTTGTTAAATCTTATTGGAATAATAAAGGGTTAGTTACCCTATTATCTTGTTGTTTCTTGTCACCGAACGCAAGCGATTATTCGCTTATCAGTTCTTAGATTCCTCACTTCCAACATTAACTTAGAATTCCAAAGTGAGGTACTCTACAAGTTGAAAGTGAAGAATCTTAAGAACTAGTACACGAATAATCGCTTGAGTTCGTGTACAGGAAACAAGTAAGAAGGGTGAAATAACCCTTTATTATTCCAATTAAAGTTTAACAAAACTCCGTCTTGGAGTAGTACAATAAAGCCGACACTTGGGCTTGAACTTAAGAGACTAAGAATTAAACTAAACTAATCTTACTACAGATATAACCGAAGCTATCAAATTCTAACAGATTTGGCCCCTTAACGCTAATTAACTGCGAAGCTATCAAGGGCCTAAAGTACGGCCGAGCGTAATATTAACTTACGAGAGAGTAGAACTAAAAAGGCGGACGCGTGCAGCCAGAATATCTGGTATCTCTCTCACTAAGACTGTAGAACTTCGCGGTAAAATAAAGTACTGCTCTTTCTCATTAGCATTCAGACGGGATTCTAAAACTACGTTCTGGCCTGAAGTGGTAAGTTGAACTTAAGAATCGATAGGAAAGGGAGTTTATCTCAAAATTTAACTGTTAATAAAATTAACATTACCCTTGCAACACTGCGGGATTCCTATAGTCGTATCGTGTTCTTTACTAGCCGCCATAACATGCGCTGATGGAAATGAGATACAGACATTAAATCAAAATACTTTTAGTTGGCAATAAAAGCTGTGACAGGGACAGCAAAACGAATTGGTGAAACACATGCATTAGTTGGTTAAAAACTAAGAAAAGGATTCTAGTCGGGACAGAAAAAAAAGAAAGAGAGGGGAGACAGAAGAAATAACAGTGTAAATATCAGACTGCAAGCTAGGTGACAAACTGAGTTACACCAGGAAATGAATTCTGCTAACTCGTGAAACAGAATAGAGCAAATGAAGCATTGCTTTAACACCTGGTAACACAAACACATTTCATCAGTTGGTAAAGCCCTGTTTCTTTTGCTGCAGTCTTCTTCATGTGACTGCAGTTACTTTTTGGAACTTTGTAACATTGTTAATAATATTAACAACTAAAACGTGATTAAAATCAGACAGAAGAATTTTTAACGCTATCGTGATCTTATTTTACCTATTTATAAATGCCACAGAAATACAAAAGATAAAGTTAGAAATTCATAACAAAATGAACTGAAATGATATAGTTGTTTTATAAATTAATACACACAAGATAATAACAAAATCCGAAGACTGATGTTATTTTACGTTGGCATGGAAAATTGAAGGGAAAACCTTAAAAAAGTTATAAATCCAAAGATAGATAGTCCGTTGGTAGCTCAAGGTCAACGTTATCACTAGGTCAACTTTTACTATACAGAAATATGCAACGAAGGCATCCCTCCCCTTAGGCAAATATCCCTCGAGTGCTTTGCATAATAAAATAAACCAAAACAACCAGAAATATGCAAATGTTTGCGCCCATTCTTTTGGCACGCGTCTAAAGGAATGGAAAGGGCGCTTCAAATTCTAATTTCAAGGATTGTATACGAGTAGTTGGATAAAATTTTCTCGGGTAAAAGATGTCGTTGAGAAGGTATTTGTCGGTTCATGAAAAATGACGTAGTACTGGAAAAATGGAAGCAGGACAGACTGGCACAGGTGTTAAAACCTTAAAATAGCCTAAATATCATGTCAAGAATCTGGACACGGTTTAAAGATAGTGTTAATGTCTGCAGGAAACCAGGTAGACACAGAAAACGTGTCATTGCACATTCTCAAAACCGTTACTTGGATAGGTTAGGTTGTTTAATTACGGCAAAGCCTCGAGGGCTATCTGCCTAAGGGAAGGGATGCCTTCGTGGAGGACTTTCTAAGGGAAACTAGCTCGTATACACGTTACACATGGGGAAAACCACGAAAACACCCATGCAGCCAGCCCATTCGCGGGATTCAAACCTCGGACCGAACTACCAGTGTTCAGCGATTTTACCGCTCGGCCGCTGGTGGGCCACCGTCACTTGGAAACGATTACTAAAAAGGATTAGAGGGCTGATATTAGCCCAGAATGGAAGGTTGTTCGCTGTAGCTACAGGAACTTGACTATTCACAGACATAACTATGATTGATAGGCTGCATAAAAAGAGGACTGCATGCAAGGAAATCCAAGAATTGTGCTCCACTAACTCGGGCTGCGAAAAGCGCCTGGCTGCAGAGATCATCATGACCGAAGTAGCATGGACTTCAGACGAGTTCCTTTTACTGCTGCGTTTCGTTTTTGTTTGGAAAGTGATTTTTCACATGATGCAGAAAGGAGCAAAACACGTACAATAAATTTGAAAAAAAAAAAAAAAAAAAAAATCCGTACGAACATCATGAAATCATGGCATGGGCGGGCATCATTCTGAATAGCCGAAATGGCATACACGTTTTAGCTGTGAAACTATAAATGCTGAAATATACAGACATGAGGTTCTTGATCCTTATGTCAAGGTATTTAGGGATGCAATCGATAATAATTCCTAATGGATGGTAACGCTATTTCCCCATCGCACGATATTAGCGACCGATTATCTTCAGCGGGAAGAAATCCAGCAGCGTGTGTACCACATAATCTTCGGATTTAAATCCGATAGAACAAGTGTGGGGCATAACTAGGACGCTCTCTCATATCTC